GCGTGTGTGCCTGTGTGCCTGTGTGCCTGTGTGCCTGTGTGTCTGTGTCTGTGTCTGTGTGCGTGCGCGTGCGCGTGCGCGTGCGCGTGCGCGTGCGCGTGCGCGTGCGCGTGCGGGTGCGGGTGTGTGGGTGTGTGTGCGTGCGTGTGTGTGTGTGTGCGTGCCTGTGTCTGTATATTAAGGGTTTATGGGACATCTCCGGTCTCTCTGGCGGTTCATACGGTGCAGGATTCAGGATTCAGAGTGCGAAGTCGAGCCTAACTTGCTGCAGGCACGACAAGGTGTTGCAGGGCTTGCCGCCATTTGGGTTTGAGGTTGGGAGGGTCAGGGATGGTCAGGTAGATCCGCAACCACCCACTCCGAAGTCTTGCTGAAGCGAAAGCGTTCGGCAGACTGCATGCGCATTTTCCCGGAACCCCGGTAAATCCTTTTTGCATCCGGTCTGCAGCGACTCCACGGGAAATCCTACAAGCCTAAACTCACCAAACCTTCAACGCCTACACCCTAGACAAAGCAAAGTCGCTCGAGTACTAGGTGCTTGCAAATCGAGTCTTTGCTCCTTTCTGGACGGGTTTCGCAACACTCGAAATCCTGAAGCCTGCACGTTTTTTTCCAGAAGGGACCCGACTGCTGCCTTTACTGCCCAGCTTGACCCACAAGAAGCCTGCACCTTGACTCACGAAAACCCCAATCCGAAACCCTACAGTTGACCCCTAGACCTTTCAACAGCCAGTCTAATAATACCCAAAAAACCCGAAACTTTGAACCCTGAGCCCTTAAGATCGAAGCCCTTAATTCTGCTTGGAAGGCGGGTGCGGAAAGCAGGGTGTGCGCAAACTGAAGGAGACGACGGAGACCTCGGCTGCAGACTCGAAATCAAGTTTCCTGAAGTTATGACTTAGGGTGTGGGTTTAGGATTTCGAGGCTCTGTGATGGGGGATGTAGGATAGGTGGCTTTATTGCTTGGGATCACAGTGTTTCCGTTTGGCATGATTTGTTGTTTGTTGTTGTTTTCGGTTTGCGGCCTTTGAATGGTCTTTCGGCGATCATTCTCGGATGTGTAGCCGATTGGAGATGACACCCATGCCGGAGTGTGGTCGATAATATCTACTGACGTACTCAAAAAGTTTGGAAACTAGCCGAGCAATCTCGAACAATGACAACAACTTTCTGAACATCTCCATGAATCCGCCTACAACATATAAAGTCGCTAAAAGGGAGTTCTCACTACGCAGGACACCTGGGAAGCTCTGAGTTGCTGTAGCGACCTCGAAACTGACTTCATGTGAGCCGCTGCGTTTATTTAAGGTTTAGGCTACTTGCGGTAGCATCTCGAAGCGGTGCCCTTATTGGTTTCATCATACTAAGTACTGGCAGCAAAACTTCATCTCGTTCGAGTAACGTTCGTAGCAGCTCTGATAATAAATGAGCCTGTTCTCGTTTTATTCGGTGCCCCTATCTCGTTCCCCTCTTAGAGCGAGTTCGGACCAAAAAGTAGCACAAGGATCTATCTCGTTTCAAAAGAGCCTATTGACACAAATAAAAGCCGTCGCTCATGTAATAATCTGACTCCCGGGCGTTGGCAAAAGGACTCCTAGAGAGTTCTGGGGTCTGCAACAGAACGGTTGAACCTTTAGAAGCTGGAGTGCGTCCCAAGCGTATGTCCTTGCGGGGCTCCCCTTTGCGCTGCGGTCTTACACTAGAATCGGGGGACGTTTGGAGTCACGATGTTGCATGCCAGGGCTTGATAACCGAATTAGGGGTCACAGGAGAACTCGGTGTCTCTTGGAGCTGTCCGAGTTCAGGCCCAATTGCGGCAGCAACCCTTGAGGTCTTCGGCTCTCATACAGTCTGAACCTGCAGTAACTCTCGTAACTGTACTGTAGTTCCTTAGTGCACAAGGTCGTTAAGCCTCAAGCGTGGCATTGATCAAAAACCTACTCGAGGTTTTTAGGCCGCTATATTACAGGGAAGGCTTGGGCGGGCTACTGGCAAGTATTGCTTCATGTTCATGATGCAGCCACGCGCACTTTCCACAAGTGCCTGCGGAGGCCGACTACCTGAAGCCTTCATAGGGCTCTGTTGTGTCAGGTACAAGTGCGGGGAGGGTGTGATAAAGATGTGGCCACGCCTAGCAATTCTCCCACTTATGGCTGATTTGCAAAATCAAGGTGAGATCAAGCTACAACGAAAATTTAAACGTTGCCATGCATAGTACAGAAAAATCACATGTTTGGGCTTACTGTAGTATATACGATGCCATCGACATGAGTGTGAATCAATGCAAGCCACGCGTGGAACCCGGTTCAAGGACGCATGTTCGGATTTCCGAAAACCGAGGCTTCCTCTCTTCGGGGTCCTTACACCAGGGGTCTTACACTTTCGAACCTATTTCAGTGCAACTCCTATTTCGGTCGCATTGAAGCTTGGCATGGTATCCATGGTCCAAGGCTAGCTGGCTTCTTCGAAGGCCGGGCTCTATAGGTCTTGGACTGGATTCTGGGAGAACCAAGATTTCGGTTCAACCCACCAAAAGCAAAGATGGCGCTGTCCGGGTAATGACAGCTGTAAGACGGTGACAACTACAGCGAAGGTGCGTCGGCGACGTCCTTGATTCGATATGACTGCAGTGTCAAGATGCGGGGAGCGCTTGTATGCATGAGTTCCAGGTCGCGGGAGGGCCGTGAAGCCAAAGATCTTAGGCCTGTGCATCCAAGGCTTCAAACCTTGAAGTGCCCGCGCAGCTACTGGACTGGAATATAGGTACTTACTTGCAATTCACCAGAAATGTGTATCCCAGTTAAGGGCTACGGCTCAAACCCCGCAAGTTCTAAACCCAGTCTCGATATTGGGCCAGGCCTGGGGCAGCCACAGCAGGAGGCCTACTGCAGGAATCAGCGCAAGCAGGACCGGAGTCTGCCTCGAAGCCATGTTTCGATGGACTTACGGGCCAATACAACACACAGAAGTGTCCTGTACTTGTGGCAAATTGGTCCGTAAAGGGTTGTTTTAGAAACTCGAAACCCTGAGGACTGCGCTCGGATTTTTTCTGCCACATTCACAAGTTCTGAAACCTGCCAAACCAAACGCGCTTCAGGGCCGTTCGCGAAGTTTCGGTCTTCTTCATCTTCTCGCAACCGAGGCGCTGCTGCAAGTCAGTTTCCTTTGACGGATCCTGTGCAGCGCGGGCAGCTTGCAGTCGGCACTCAAACAGCGCCCAGGTCGCAGCAAAGCCCACAGCACCTGTGCAGGATTGTGCGGGGATATCCTACATCAGGGCTCCCCTCAAAGCCTTCCCGATTTAAAATGCTAAAGTCTTTCAACCCTCCGGGTCTGCAGGCCTCAGGTTCAGGGGTACATAGGGTGTCGGAGCTTTCGGATATTTTGGAGCTAACAGGCTAGCAGTCTCGGCGTCTTGGGAGAAGAAAAATGTTCGGTTTCAATGTCGGGGTCTGTGGGTCTCCGGAACTAGAAGCCAGTCAGGCCCGCCTCTCAACATCGACATTCTCGAAGCTATATCGTCGTCACTGTTGCAGCATAAACAGAAAGAGAGAGGAGAGACAGAGAGAGAGAGGGAGAGCGAGGGAGAGCGAGCACTGGCTACAGGGCAGCATGGCATGCGAGGCAACCTGATGCGAGAAGAGATATTACACGTGATGCAGCCAATGCGCGAAACTTCAAAACAGCGACAGCAGGATAAGACCCAAACGGAGAAGGTTCTCATTAATGCGCGCAAGGCCGCATGAGAAAGGCCGCATGAGCTCTTAACCCGAAGGTCTAAGTCTGAACTCTGAGCCTCGTGCCCTACGCAGAATCTCATGGCATCAGACTGTCAACGGTGTTTTCCAGAGCCGGTTCTTGTCTGTGTGCACCCACATGATACTGCACGGATGTATAAAGTATGTAAGATTTTTGTAGCACTCGCGCTCGACGAGGGCGGCATGACAGACATTCCAGGCTCTATTCAAGCCCAACTGTAAACTCCAACTCATTTCGAGCCCAGGCCACATGCTCAACATAAGCCTAGATACTAAGTATCCATCTCTCCTGCGATCAGAGGAAAAGCAGCAATTCAGTTCTTCACCGCTAACCAAGGAGACAACAAGGCGCTGTAAATGTAGTTGGGCCTTACTGGGCCCAGCGGGCTAACGGTGCACTTAGGGTCCCGACTGGGGCCTTAGCTCTAGGCTCTAGTCTGTGTGCACAAATCAGAGTTGCCATTGAAGTGAATATGGGGGGGGGGCGATGTTGAGCCTGGGGAATAAAAGTCGGCAGCAGTGAATAATTAATGTTATGACGGTGAGTTTGGGCATGAGTAGTGAATAATGCTATGAGGGTTAATATGGGCATGGGTATTAGTAACCACTCATGTTAGGTCTGCTGGCAGAACTTCAGGGTCAACAAGCGTCGTTGAGGCCAATATTAGGGTTGCCCGTGGCCACTGTTCGATTTGCTATTGAAGGTACCATGCGGTTTGCTACTAAGGTGAATCGTACTTCTCAGTCTGACATGAGGGCTTGACCAAGGCCTCAATATCCATATTATGCGGGGTCAGTACTGACGTGTTCCATGCGTTGGCAGTAGAGTTAACTTGCAAGGTTGACATAAATTCAGACCATTTTTAAGCTTCATTCCGATTCTAGAAGGCTACGCTGTAAAGCCGTGTCATTTATAGGTCTATTGTTACGACCACATTAACTACCAGGAACTATGCTGGGGCTACCAGAGACCTAAGTGAGCAAGACACGGAAAACAACGCTAAATGCAATCGTGGATTTGATTTGCATGCAACTCTAGACCTTGACATGGTGACTGCCATGCGGGAGCCAAAAACATAGGATGAACATGAAATGGCCGAGTTCATTACGCAGCACTACCGCGGACGTGATCAGTGCAAACCCTGCTGAGTCTAATAAGCCTATTGAACTCAATAATAAGTCTCCCGGACTGAAGATTGAAGCTAAAACCTTTTCAGATCTTCAATCTTCAATCCAGCAACCCTATTGAATTCAATAGGCCTATTGAGTGCGTTAAGTCTCCCGGATTGTGTGGAGAGGATTGGTACCGTGCCCCCCAAAGACCATCGACTATCAGTTATCGTCTCGTATGTAGTGGTTTTATTGATGCAGACATACTAGGGTTCAGAGTATACACATGCACACGTACAGAGCCGCTTTAGAGTGAGGAGGAGGGGGTCAGGGGCATCATGCACAGAATTTGCACCAAAACAAGTGGATGACTCGGGAGAGTATCATATATATATATATATTTATTTATTTATTTATATATGTGATAGATGGATGTATATATATATATACACATGTTCATATTATGTTCATATATGTAGAAAATGTACACATACATGTGATTATATGTACAGCATACAGACACGAAGCACACACACACACACATATCTATGTACACACATACAGTTCTGTATATAAACACGCACAAAACACATGCGCACACACACATGTGCATGTATATATCTATATCTATATCTATATCTATATCTATATCTATATCTATATCTATCTATCTATATATATATATATGCATAAATACATAAATACATACATACATACATACATACATACATACATACTTACATACATACATACTCATAACAATACAGCACAGTACATAACAATACATAACAGTACATTACCACTTCTTACATACATACATACATA